AGGTGTGGGCAGGGAGCCTCTAGAAGGAGGGAGGGGACTGGCACACGGGCCTCAAGCTACGAGATTTCTTCCTCTTTACAGATGGATGGGAAAGGGCAGCCTCGGTGATCACCCGCCACTGACAGTTGGAACAGGAGTTGTCATTTTCTGTGCCACTTCTTCACCTGTGTGTCATAAATGTCCAGTCACAAACACAGGCTTTGAAATACACACCTCACCAGGCAAAAGCCTAGATTATATTACTAAAATGCGAACACAGTCATACTATTATTTAGAAAAAAAGAAGACCACCACATACTCACTTAACAGCAATTGTTCTCACTTAGTGACAAAACTGTAAATTCCAAGAAAGCAGAGGCCAGATCTTTTTTTTCCTAAATCATTTTGCTTTAGCATCTGACCCAGCATCTGACTGTCGGTTAAACTGTTGAAATAAATGATGTAAGTTTCCTTATATGCTTAATTTTTTTCACTTATGTGTATGTCTTTTTAATATAATTGTATATTATACATAATTATGTAATTTTTTCTTTATAAAAAGGATTATGGCAGATACTTCTGAGTTTTTATAGATACTGTAATTTTTAATGATTTTATGACTTTAAAGTATTCCATTAGGTTCATATATATGAATTCATGAAATAATCTTTTTTGGAGTACACTCGGGTTGCTTCTAGTTTGGCCTTGTATTTTTTAAGAGTATGCTAAACATATTTCTGCATATTTCTTAATTTCCATTAAGCTTCTTACTTAAAATACCTTCTTGAGGCCACATGTAGTAAGTGCAGAGGTGAGGGCGTCTGATCACCATGCTGTTTGACCTTGCAGGCAGGTGGACGGTAGGCAGTCTCCCCCGGTTGTGGTGAACTTAGCTATCTCAGCATTGCTCTGTCTCTTCCCACTTTAGCTGAATGGATGTTCCTGTTGTGGCTCTTACAGATTAGATTTGAAAGGTGTGAATTGATCAGTATGTGAAGGCTTATTAGAGGCAATGGTTATTAAACTGTAATGCTCTCAGGGCTTTGAGGAGTGAGATCAAAGGTTGGGGAGTGGAGGATGAATTCTGTGTAGGGTAGATGTCATTGCTTGCTTCTTTTAAATCAGGAGACTTATTTAGCTTCTTTTATTGGGAATCTGATTTAAACACCAATGCTTTGTTAGGAAAACCTAACCTAGAGCACTGAGATTTATAAACAAAAATCATTTCTGAAATAACTTAAGTAAAAATACAGTTACATTTCCATATCCTCACCATCCAACACTTTTTATCCTTTTACTCAGCTCCCAAATGCAATGTGAGTAGTTAAAAAGAACTATATGTATAATAAAGAAATGTATTTTCTTTTCCTCTATGTGTATGCTCAGGAGTAGGATTGCTGGATCATATGGTAAGTCTATTTTTAGTTTTTTAAGGAACCTCCATACTGTCCTCTATAGTGGCTGCACCAATTTACATTCCCAGGAACAGTGTAGGAAGGTTCTCTTTTCTTTTTGAAAATATAATTCAAAAAGACACATACACCCCAGTGTTCATAGCAGCACTATATACAGTAGCCAAGACATGGAAACAACCCAAATGTCCATCAACAGATAACTGGATAAAGAAGATGTGGTATATATACACAATGGAATA